CTTAAGTCACTTCGCCAGGAGGTGGCAGTGGCCACGATTCGCCTGACAGCGGTGGCAGAGGCCCCGGATAGCAAGGGGACATCACCCCTGGCCAATGTGGTAGCTCTTCATCCTGACATGGACAAGGGGGTCCTCTCAGGCCATGGACCACGAGGTTTTACTGCTTATTTGGAGGCATCAATTGAAAATATCTTCTATTTTCACCCACGGAATTTTTGAATCTGTATTCCCCACTCTAATTCTATATCCAAATCCCTCAAATTGTGCTAGCGAGTGTCTTCCTCTTCTGGAGGGTGGAAAGGGTGGCATTCCTCCATCCCAGTGGTTCTCAGTCCTGGCCGGGTATCAGGGAGCTTCCCTGACTTCATACTCCCAGGCACCGTCCCGGGAGACACCGGCTTAGCCCGGGAAACATGACTGACTCAGAAGCAGGGCAGGCCCGACGCCTGGAATCAGGCATCAGAGAGCCCTTGGGCAAGGGGGCCAACCAAGAACACAGAGCACAGCAGAACAGAGTGCATAAAAGCCCATGTTTGCTGGGCCCCCGAGACCTGGGTTTGAATCCTGACGCTGCCACTTACTGTGTGATCTTGCACAAATCACTTAATCTTTCTGAGCCTCACACCCTCTATTGGTAGAATGAGGCCGTACCTCCTGAGGTTGCTGGGAAGATGAAATGACATGACGACGGTGATGCACTCAGCACGGAGCCTGGTATTTGGTGGGGGCTCCACAGAGGATAGTGAGGCACAGTCATCGCAGTGGCTATGCTACTATTACTATTAATTATTAATAGGATTCTGATTGTGAGCTGCTGGGGTGCTGGCCACCACCCTGCTATTTCCTAGAGCAGAAGGGAGGAGGAGGGGAAGAGGCGTTTCGGAAGCGGTTTCTCCACAGCTTGTTCCTCTCACTCCCGCTTTAGCAGGAAACCCTGGGCAGGATGTCTGAAGACTCCTTCTGGCAGCCCCTCCAGGGTCTGGGTGCAGCGGAGGGTGGGGCGATGCTGGGCTCCATCAACATCCCTGCTCCCCACCCCCACAATCTTTTGACTTGCTGGTATCTCAGAGGCAAGGAAAGGGCATTTGCTTTTGAGAGAGAGAATGGAGTGTAATTCCCAGGCAAGTCGCTCTGGGTCAGAGAGGACGGAATGATGGGGAGGAAGGGAGTGAAATGAAAGTTTGTTTGTATGTTTTCTTAAAGAAAGTAAAACTCATTTGCTTCGCCTTCTTTGAAAGTTATTCCCAAAGGACTTCTGGTAAATTATTATTTTCTATTAGCTTCCTAAGGACCAGGGAATGTAGTAAAGTGACAGGAAATAAGTCTCCTGAATTCATTCTACTCTCCCCAAATTTCCTAGCCCCATTCTTCCCAACTGCCTCATGAAACAAGGAGAAGCAAACATCACATTGCTCCTGTCCCATAGAGCGCGCTCCAAGATTACAAAGCAATTAGAAGGGGCTGCTCCTTGTTGGAATTTACAGGTTTCTTTAAAAGGATATGTTAAACCTCATTGATTAAGACATGCGAATCCTACTTATCTTCTGAAAGTCTGGCCAGAAGTTTACTTTTGCACCGTAGTGAGGGGAAAAAGAAGGTTGCTCAGCCAGCACAAACAAACTTTCATGTGGTCCTTTACTATTCAGGAGAACCAGCTTTGAGACGCTTGGAAATGTCTTTTTTATACTGTATAAACAACCAGAATCTAGACAGCGGCGACAGCTGTAGGCCAGGTTTTGATAGGTTTATTGCAAGTTTCAAATTCTGGATTAAACAAAACAAAAAACCAGCAGCAACAGTCTCTCCTCCCCGGGGTATAAACTCTGGAATGAGGGCTCACATCTCTCAGTCAAGCTGTCTATTTTTTATTGCTCATTAAAAACTAGGGGTAGAGCCTCTGTGAGGTGCTAATCTGTCTTTAACACCTCTCCCTGAACGGCATAAATCTTCCCCACGTTGAGAAGGGTGTGCAGGCGCAGGGCTGGAGCTGCACCAGGACAGGCTGAGGAGGACCTGCTGGGCTCACGGCACAAGCCACAACCCAGAGAATCTCTTACTAGTTACAAAAATTAAAATTAAAAAAAACTATTTTCAAAAGTGATCGAGTCAAATGTTTCACTCACTTGTAAAAAGCCCTCATCTAACTGAATGCCTCTGTGCTCTACCTCGGAGGAATCTGTCATCTAGACAGGAGCGTGGGCAAGAGATGAAATCTACCCTATTTTTAAAAGATCTCCAGGGAAGAAGACTTTCTTAGAAATTTGTGTTCAAGTTTAATCGTATTGGGTATTATGAATTTTTTCCTTTTTGGTCTTTGAAAATAAAAAATAATAAGGTCTGGCTCTAGCCGGTTTGGCTCTGTGGATAGAGCAGGGGTCCTCAAACTTTTTAAACAGGGGGCCAGTTCACTGTCCCTCAGACCGTTGGAGGGCCGGAATATAGTTTAAAAAAAAACTATGAACAAATTCCTATGCACAGTGCACATATCTTATTTTGAAGTAAAAAAACAAAACGGGAACAAATACAATATTTGTATTTGCATGTGGCCCGCGGGCCGTAGTTTGAGGACCCCTGGGATAGAGCATCGGCTCAAGGAATGAAAGGTTCCAGCTTAATCCCTGGCCCTGGTCGGGGCACATGCAGGAGGCAACCAATGATGTTTCTGTCTCTATCCCTCCTTCCCCCTCCCCTCTTTCTGAAAAACAAAAACAACCAATGGAAAAAATATTCTTAGGTGAGGATTTCTGCTTCCTAAATTATAGATGAAGAGTTGTCATGTCATCCCTTATTGTTTAAGGCTTTAGGCAGAATAACCCTAGTTCCCCCGTGGGCCTGACTTGATGTGTACCAGAGGCAGACGTCACCGTTGGCCAGGGTTGCTAGGTGTGGCAGCTCTGGGTGTGAAGCCTGAAACCCTGTCTTCAGACCAACAGCCAGGCTGACCGTGGCAGCTGCTGGCACTGCCTGTGCCAGGCCTACAGCAATTTTCAATGGGCGTCACTGCTCCTTCCACAGGATTCTCCAGGTGCCCCTCCTCTGCCGATGGCTATGGGACAATATGCCTTCAGGCACGGCGTGCACTTACTACAGATGTGAACCCTACCTTATTGAGTGGGTTGGGCTCCCAGGCCCAAATAAAGCCAAAATAAAAAAGTCAAAACTACCCTGAAAAAATCCCCTTGTCCTCAGTCAATTGTTTCATAAGCAGTGTTTTTGGCTAGACTCGGTACCCCAAGATAAAAAGACTAGGTTATCTCACACCAAGTAGACTTTTGTTGGCAGTGAGGTGGTCAAAGATTAAAATTCAATCATCAGCTTTTAGTTTTTACATCTGCTTTGGTATGGTAGACTTTTCTTTTCATTCAAAATAGGCCCGAGGCATGAAATGGTTGAAAACCAAAGATTATCACAGAAAAACAAGGAGACCCAAAAGGGAATATGGCCTTTTATTTATTTTTTTATTTATTTATTTGAATCCTCACCTGAGGATATTTTTCCATTGATTTTTAGAGAGAGAGGAAGAGAGAGGGAAAGACAGAGAGAAATATCGATGTGAGAGAAACACATTGATTGGTTGCCTTCTGCACACACCCTGACCAGGACCCAGGCTGGGGAGGAACCTGCAATTGAGGTACGTGCCCTTGACCCAAATCGAACCCAGGACCCTTCAGTCCAAAGGTCGATGCTCTATCCACTGAGCCAAACTGGCTAGGGTGGGAATATGGTCTTTTAACTAAAGCTGTATTTACATCCCAGTGTGTCATCTCATATATATTAACTGATCAGTAAAAGTTTGGTGAATGACTTAATGGATGACTTTACCAATGGTGAGAAGGGCTGTGGGAAGTTTGCTGACCTAATTAGAGCAGAGAAGAACTGAGGTGGTGGCTCACCCTAGAAGACAACTCTGACTCCATGGTCCAAAGCCTTCACTCATCAACACTCGCCAGGTATGCACCGAGGACCTGCTGTGGCCTTTTGGACACACGCTTTTGCAGATGCCACCACGTTGCTCAGAGTACGATGGAGTGGCCTTGCCTGATTCCCTGCCAGATGTGGACTTTTGAGAACAGAGGACTTATCTTATTCATGGCACTAACCTCAGTCCTCAGGACAGGGAATGGCACATGCAAGGGCTCAACCCTGCCTGAATGAAGGTCAGAGCATCCGACATCTCGTCCTGGAAGAGCACTGAGGGAGGCTTCCTCCTGCACGTCCCATGCTCTCTCCTCTTTCCAGGTCACTCCCCAAAGATCAGACAACCCCGGGACTAGAATAATTCCCAGGATGTTGCCCTGAACTTGCCTATTAGAACCTTCTTTGACACCTAGACTTTTTGCCCTAGAAAAGACTATCTCTAGGTGTAAGTGTGACTATCCTCCCCAGCATGTCCAAATTTCTAAGCCAGCTCTTTCATGAAATATTTCATAGCTTGGCCAAAGCCTTTATTTTCAAGAAATATCATTTCCCGCCATGACTGAATCTCATACCTGGATACCTCTTTGGGAATTCCCTACCAAGCAGCTACACCCTGAGGGTCCATGACAAGAGGGTCCTAGTGATGGAGTTAGTTGCACATACAGGAACTGGGTAACTTTTCTGTTAACAGATGGCACATCTACCTCCTGCCCACCAGCCATAAGACTCAGCCTCCCTGAGTCAATGCCCAGCCACCCACAATACCCTGTGACCACCCCAAGCATAAAGCCCTGGGTGGCTGGGTATGGCAGCTTTTCCCAGAGCTCCACATACTCACAGCATCATAACTAAGGTACACTGGCTACCCCATTCATCATGTAGATTCCAAGGAAATAGGATTAAAACACCATCTGGACAGACTCCCATCACACAGTCAGCAAGGAGCAAGACAACACCACACAACGCAAGGTCGGAGGAAGCAAATGATTGGGAGACAGCCCTTAGCCACCAGAAAAAAAACCAGGGTAAGAGAAAGGAACAGCACTGGTATAGAGAGAGGCACATGATTTTCCTTTAATTACCTTCAGATTTAGGACTAGGAGTAGATGCAGGAAACTGGTAGGTAGGAGTGTAAGGACTGTCTTCTGTAGCAGAGAGAAGCAGTGGATTTTGAAACGATCCACCATGAGGTGGAGGAACTAACCAATCCCCCACTGACTCTTTCAAATGACTGATTACCTGTTCAGTGTTATTAAAGCCTGTGGGCATCACACCTAAAACAGGTTAATGTATTAGCGAGGTCTTAGTCATTTTAATATAGTACATCATGCAAATGAGTGAAATAAAATTTTCGCCAACCAAAAACAACTATAAAAATAAAATCTAAAAGCCAAGTCTCATTCCTATAATGGAACTATAAGAATTAATTTAAGGCTAGCACAACAGATACACTGTCTAAGTTTATGGTACCTTCAGAATTGTGCTGGATGTCAGGAAGTTCAGGGAATTTGTACGTAGGGAAATAAGGGTTTTCTTCAGGAGTGTCTAGGCAGAGGAGCAGGTTTTGGGAGAGAGAATAGAGGAAGATACAAATGGAGAGAATGAACGAATAGGAATCCACACACAATTTAGGCTCCTTGAATTCCGGAACATAAGCTTCACTAGCGATATGAGAGAAATTCACACTGCGTTTAAAAATCCAGTCCTTTTGCCTGAAGTACTGAGACACACCTAAAGAGACCATATCATTTCTTTTCTTTGACAAAGAATTACGTATATATAGGCTCCAGAAAGCAAGAGGCATTTAACACAAAGCGTCAAGTTTTTACCTTTTATAGGCAAAGAATATTAAAGTTTGCTAATAAATAGTATGTAATGAAAACACTATCATAAAATGTTTTGTAAAATAAATCAAACCTTGTGCTGTGGACATTAGAGTCAAGGCAAACAACTGAGGTTTTCATTTTTCCATACCTCTGCCTACCATGAAGGCAGACAGTTTTGTTCGGGACCTGTAGTTGAGCAGTTAACAGCTGTAACATCTGAGAGGCCCACACTGCTGGTGAGGCAGAATCACATATTTTTCACATGTGTGCCTGTATCCCCACATCGGGGCTGCCAGAGCTAGGGCTAAAGGTGAGACACAGCTTGCTGGAGGAAAGGGACATCAGCTTCAGAAAGTAACCAGAGGAATTGGCACTATCCAATCAGAGAGACCTGGCCGTTAACTTCGCCATCCTGACAGAGCTCATCCACCCAACTACAGTGGACTTACTCTTGGCTCCGAAACACAGAACATGAGCATCTCAGTATTTAGAGAGTTTGAAGAGGGGCACCTCTGAACACTGCAGGGGTAATTAACAGTGACCTTCACTGGCATCCACAGCTAATCAGAGAGATTGGCTATTTGTGGCTTAGGCCAACACTGACCGGACGCTTTTTCTTTGCCTGCGTGTGTCATCTGTGCCAGGCAGCCAGACTGGATTTGGCCACAGGGAAGGACAGGATGCTCTGCCTGAGGGAGGTGTGGTACCTTCCCATGGTGCAGCTGCATCCCTGCCCATCAGCTGACTGGCGGCAGAGGCGATGGGAGCTGGAGGGTTATGACCTGCCCGAGCACTGGCCTGGGGCTCCCCCACCATGCGGAGAACCTGCTACCACCCAGCGGGCCCGACTTGGAAGCGCTTCTCTTCCAGCGTGAACGGGCTTTGGACTGTCAGCTCTTGACTGACTCAGGGCTACCTGCCAACGGCTGGCTCCAGATGGGGAAGATTATTTTTCATATTAACACCACCTTACAGGGGGAGAAGGCGTGCTGTTCACAGGCAGAATTTGCAACATCCCTTGGAGGAAGAGAAGCAGGACAGACAGAGACAGGTAGGTGATTGGTCCAAGATCAGATGAGCCCTGGGGAACTGACTCCAGGTCAGAACAGTTTTTAACTCCCGGTTCAGTGCTTTCTCAACCTGCTCTCCTACAAGGCAGTCATGGGCTGACATGGGGAGGTGCCCTTAAAGCTGGAAGCAGATGGAAGTTGGAGCTGCTCGCATCCCAGGCAGGCAGATGCCGGAGCGCAGGAAGCGGGGCCTGTAGCATCCCACAACATCTGGGCAGGACTTCTAAGCTGACCTCAATCCCCCACGTGAGGCGGCACCCAAGTGCTCCCTCCCCCCATTGGCTCTGGAGGTGGCTGCTGGGCTCAGGCAGGCTGGCGCTTAATGAGGTCAAGCCGCAGGGCCAGTCCTGGCATCCTGGCAAAGGGGGTTTATGCCCTCACCACAACAGTCAGCATGGGAGCACAGCAGAGCTTCTACAAGAGCAAACCAGTACCTCTGTTTAGCTTGTGGATCTGCTTAAACATGGTCTTGTACCAGTCTTTGGATCTCTCGGTGTTCTGGAGAAAGAGAAAGGCAAAGAGTAACATGAAACGGAAATCTTGGTACATTTCAGAACTTCTACAATTACAACATCTCAAGTCCAAACTCACGTAATTCTATACATCCTGTGATCCCACACTTAAATCTTTTTTTTAAAAAAATGCAAGACTTTTCAGAAAGAACAGACAAACCAAGAGATTCAGACCTGAATCTGCAGAGTGACATTTGGCCCACAGGACACAGATTTTGACAACAGTGGACGAAGATACACTTCAAAAGGTGTCCATTTTTATAGAACTTTTTAAAACTTCATTTTTACAGAGAATCTCTTTCCATACATAGATGACTAAACTAAAGTAAAACATCCTAGAAACATACACGAGACAAAGAACATTCGCTTATCAGGCCTTGCCTGTCCATCCCAGGTTATTCTGTAGACGTGTGTCTAAGTCACCTCGCATGGGGCCCGATTCAGAATGCACTTGATAAAATGTAATCCATTATAGCAGCCAATGCCAGGCGGTCATCCTAGTCACACAGCTGGGCTCATGTTTGTTTATTTATTTTTTAAGATAAAAATAAACAAGAACAGGGACAGATAGGTGGTTAGACCAGATAGTTTCATTCCCACTTTACAGATGAGGAAAAATGAATCAAAGTGTCCAAACCGAGAAATGGAAGGGCCACCTCATCTATAAAATGGGAACAATATTATTAGCCACCTTGTAAAGTGAATGATGTTTAAATGAGATAATGCACTTGGCAAATGGTGGCTGTGATCACTACTAGTAATAATTCTCATTATTGTTATACAACTATTCTTATATAGGACTGGACAACATTTCTTTGGAGGCTGAGCTACTGCTGTTCAATCAGCCTTCTCCACGGGCACATAATCCTATACACTAGCTCAAGGGAATCACCGAGAAGCACATGGCAGCCCGTGTACTGTTGGGCACGTGGAGAGGAATGGAATTCACCCTAATCCAGTTTCAAAAGTCGGGCTTCCCTGGAATCCCTGAGGGCCTGCAGGAGGCTGGCATGCCTGTACCGGGTGGTGGGCTGGGCAGGCTACCCCAAGACCACTCTGTTCTGAGGCCTCGGCAGGCTGAACCATTCTGTGGTTGTCTTAGTTTCCCTCTCATGCTGGGTGCTGGGCTTGCTCCCATCAGGGGAACTGCGCCCAGAACCCGTGAACAGGGACCCTGAGCCTCACTCTCCCCTGCGCTCTCTAACCCTGGACTAACAATTTCCGAGTCTGTTCCATGGATCAGTAAATAACGTGTCCATGGGTGGGGAGACTGGGAAACTGCCGGCAACATTCTCCTCTTCACACACATCTCAACGCCTCTCAGTTCTGCTGCAGAGAAATCTCCCTGCCCTTGTTCCACGAAGCTTTTCTTCAAGTTCATTCAGCCGTGAAATCCCTTTTCTCACGAGACTCACGGCACCTCTTTGGGGAAAGCTGCTGCACGCGGAGCCCAGGACCAAGGTGGGCTCGGAGGCTGGAGCACAGCGCTCTGAGGCTCTGTGCCCTCAGTGGGCTCAGACAGTGGACAGTGGTGAGGACCCTCCTCACGAGGCCTCTGCAACCCACGGTGGGGCCCACATGCACGCAGGGGTGTACACTTGTCCCTGGCTGAGAGGAGGCCCAGAAAGGACTTAGTTGGGACTCGTACCCGGAGTGGGATGCCCACTTCATCCATGGACACATCGCTCAGGTCCTGAGTGCTCTTAGCCACCCGCCTGCTGTCATCCTTGGCCTTTTTGTCAGTGGACCTGCCAGGAGAGGTGGGTTTTTCCTGGGTTGTTGCCAAGTCCCGTTCTCCCACTCTTCTTTCTGACACAGGATCTGGAAGTGAAAAACAACCGTTAGCTGAAGTTCTTCTGGTGGCTCCAAAGCAAACCTCCCTGCCCCCCCAAAAAACCACCCTCTCAAACAATCCAGCTGGGGGAAGTGTGCTTGCTGATTCTCAATTGGAACGAGTTTCATGTAGAGCAAGGGTCAGCAAACCAGGCCTGGCCACCTGTTTTTGTAAATAAACTTTTATTGGAGTACAGCCACACCCATTCATTTACGAATTATTTATGGCTGCTTTCAAGCTAAAATGGCAAAGTTGAGTAACTGTGACAGAAACCATATGGCCTGCGAAGCCTAAAACATTTACCATCTGGCCCTTTAAAAAATGTGCAGAGGTATACACCGGAGGCTGCAGACATCGAGTGGCTCTGACTGTCAGGGAGCAGGTAAAACCATCAAGAGGTGGCCATTCATTCATTGAAAGTCCTTGTTTCATCTTGGGGAAGTCACTGAACTTTTCTGTGCTCCTGTTTTCTCATCCAAAAATGGGGCTAATCCTTCCACTAGCAAGCTCACAGGGACGCTACGAGAGGACCTAACAAGATAACTCATGCCAAAATGCTCAGAAAGCTCTACATTGCTTAATGCACATTAGAATATTTTAAATTTGATTCAGGATTGGAAGTTACAAAGAGCTAATAAACGTTCCATGTGTGGTCTACAGATTATAAAATTACTCTGTTTAACCTATTATTCCATGTCACTTAGTTATGGGAAGGCATTTACTAAGTCCCTGCCAGGTGCTATGCATTCCCATGCAAAGGAAAGGGAACAGGGCTGGGGAAGGCAGGGAGAGATGGCCTCTTCCATTTAGACACGGTGACTTAGAGGTGACAGTGAGATGTTCATGAAGAAATGCCCTAGAACCCCTAGAAGAAATGCGGGAGCGGAGCCCAGGTGAGAGGCCCCAGCTGGAGTGCAATTTTGGAGCCATCAGCATGAAAGTGATGGCTGAGGTCAAGGAGCTGGAAGAGCTCAGTGGAGGAGGTAAACGAGAGTCAAGGGCTGAACGCATGCACCAAGGACTGTCGCAGTCTTGGGCTCCCCAGAAGATGCAGGAGTCGCCAGAGGGGTAGGAGATGAACCACAGGCACAGTGAGGTGCCAGTGAAACCAGAAGACAATGCCAAGAAGTGGGTGGTTAAATACGTCAAAAAATAAGTTTAAAAACCTCAAAACAGAAATTGAAGCAGAGGAGGAGGCATAGATTAGGCAAACGAAGAGTCACAGGATTGCTCTGAGGGAGTAATTTTGGGAGGGCAGTGGGGGTAGATGCCAGATCGCAGGAAAAGAAATGAATATAAAAGCAGGAAGTGGGGTAGTAAGTAGGGAGGTGGGCATGGAAGAACTATGCCAACCAGAGAGGTCACAAGATTCGGGGGCAGACGGTCCAAGCCAGGGGAGTCTACAGGCCTATGGTGAAGCCTGCGGTGAGGCTGTGGGGACGGAGATGTGCCCTGGAGATGAATAAATGCTCAACAGGCATCTGTTCACTGCTTGAGGAGGAGGTTCTCATCTTTGAGAAAGGAAAAGGTTCGAGTGCTAGCTGGAGGAACCCGAGGGTGCAGGCAACGTTGTGCTGAAGATGGAGCTGTCGTGTGTGGAGGCTGGGGGGAGGGGCAACACATTCATGGGCACCCTCAGGGTTTGCTCCATGGAGTGACTCTGCCTGGATGTCACACTAACTTCCGAAATGCAGATTTATTCTGTGGTCATAGGACGATTTCTTTCTTTCTTTCTTTTTTTTTTTTTAATATATTTTTATTGATTTCAGAGAGGACGGGAGAGGGAGAGAGAGATAGAAACATTAATGATGAGAGAGAATCATTGACTGGCTGCCTCCTGCACGCCGCCAACTGGGGATCGAGCCCGCAACCTGGGCATGTGCCCTTGACTGGAATTGAACACGGGGGACCCTTCAGTCCACAGGCCAACGCTCTATCCACTGAGCCAAACCAGCCAGGGCCATAGGACGTTTTCTAAACATTCTGTGGGAGACTTGGTTCAGGGAGCCCTTCAGAAAACCTGATCCCGGTGTCATCACCACGAGCTTTAAAGGATGTCAAGACCAGACTGTTCCATAGAATGGGTTCTATCACTCCCAGGAAATTCCAACAGGAGGCCAGGGACTTGGCAGGAAGCATGGGACATGTCAGGGGATTTCAAGTTACCAGAGCCTACCCTTCACACGGCTCAGCTGAGCATTCTCCTCCCCCCTGGAAAGGCTTGCCTAAGTGGGATCAAGATTTTGAGCTCTGGCCCTGGCTCAGTTGGCTGGGCTCGTCCCATAAACCAGGAGGTTGCTGGTTTGATTCCTAGTCAGGGCACATGCCTAGGTATTGGGCTTGATCCCCAGTACGGGATGTGCAGGAGGCAGCCAATCAATGTTTCACTCACATCTATGTTTCTCTCTCCCTCTCCCTTCCTCTCTCCCTCTAAATATCAATTAAAAATTTTTAAAAATAAAGATTTCAAGCTCTGTCTCGCTGGTGTTTGGAGGTCTCATACTCCTCACTCTTCAATGTCATTTCTTTAAAAGAAGATCGCATCTATGCCATTCTCAGGGTTTTGGGGTCCAGGGAATTAAAAAAATTTTTTTTTATGGCAGGTGGCTCTAACAGCACTTAACTGTAAAACCCAGGCTGACTGCCCATGGATTTGTTCCAAAGCTGCCAGAGTCCTTTTGATCTACAAAAATTAGCCCCGAATTATCGTTTTTTAGAAGCTTGTGATCATGTGACTCATGACTGAGTGGATTTCAATATACGGAGAGCGGAACTGCAGCCTCTGAAGGAAAACTGCTTCTTTACAGAGTGAAAACCCAAAGTGACACTTCACTGTCACCCAGGTGACGTGCAGGTTGCAGTGAGGGCTTCTGCTACGTCTCACTAGGCAGCTACCTACGCCTCCCGCTCTGGAGCAGTTCCTTCCAGTTTCATACTGTGCTTTCAAAAGCAAGATCCTGGAATGAGCCACTAAGTAAACAATGGTGCCGGCAACCTGAGACCAGGCCTCTCTCTTTGCGAGGGTGGGAAAGCTTTGTGACTGAGGTTACAGCCTGCTGACACTTCTCTTGGGGAAGCGCCCCTCTGTCCTAGCCCCTTCTCCTGTCCGTCCACCCAGGGTACCATGAGCCCCAGGGGCTCTTTCCCACAGGTGAACCTCACTGAGCAAGAAGCCCCCGAGGGGGGCTGGCAAGTGCCATCCCCGCAGGTGAGATGGCAGAGCCTCCTTACTCCAGGCACAGGGTGGAGTTCCAGGCCTGCCGCCCTGTCCGCTGGGAGCTCTGAACACAATGGTGCTTCTTTTTAAACCAAAACTAATGTTTAGTGAACTAGGGATGTACCACTCTCTGAACCCCACGAGTGGATCTGTCCTCAAACCCAAAGAGGACAGAGCACGAGGCTTCTTTCAAAGCCGGGGAGTGGCTCGGGCCTGGTGGCATGGTAGACAAGCCCTGACATTTACATAGCACTTTGCAGTGTGCAGAGAATACCCCAAAGCCTCCTGCGGCACACACAATCCTGCAGAGGCAAGGACTGTCACCCCACTTCCCACATGAGGAAACTGGCTCAGAGAGGTGAAGTCACTTACCCAGGGACAAACAGCCATAAGAGGGATGAGCCAGGACCAAACTCTGGGTCTAACTTGTGTTTGGGTGCCTTTTAAAAATCGATTCCACTGCTCCTTTCAATCTCCCAGAGGCAGGAAGGAGCCCACAGGGGCTACCTTGCCTCCCCCCACGGCGAGCCACCCTGCTCTCAGCAACCTGGGCTGGGGCCACAGAATGGCACCTTGAGGAGGGGGCAGCGAAGGGCACCTTATGCTCAACCACAGCCTGTCCTGGCTCCACAGCCAAGTCCTGATAAAGCTGAGAGGGTGTGAGAACCCCATGTCCTGCCCACCGGGCTTTCCACGAAGCCCAAGGACAGCAGTGGGACGAAGCAACACAGGAATCAGGGAGCAGCGGCTCAGAAAGCGGTGGCTTTTGCTATCCACCAAATCAGGGACTTTTCACACCGGAGTTCAAGACTATCTGCAAACGACCACAGGCGTGTGTTTTCACACGCGTGGCTTGTCTGGATAATGAATCTACCGCCTTCACAGATCCCCAGATGGGGCCATGACCAACACAAGGTTACAGCCATCACACAAGCTGTGAGGGCAGCACTCCTCCCTGTCATGGCTTCAGAGCCTACTCAGCGCTCAACACAAAGTAGACACTCAGTCAAATGACAAGTAAATCAAGGGAGGCACCTACTGAAAACAGTGACTCTCACCCATCATGCACTTAGTGAATGCCAAGGCTCGTACGAGCTGTTTATAAGCAGAACATCTGACAGGTAAGAAACTGATTCGTTGTTTAGTAAGTGATAGAACCAGGATTCAAAGCAGGGTGACTACAGAAGCCACGGAAATGGGTTTCCCCACAATTTCCACCAACATGTGTGTTCGGAATATCCTGTTCTTACCCATCAGGACACATCTATTAGTTTGGGTCACTTGTCTGGTTGGCCCCCCCAGCCTTCAAGCTGCAGGGAGGCATGAACCACACCTGGTTTCATCATCCAGCCAACCACCATCGAACAGAGTCCTTCCCCCCACCCACCCCCAACACACACACCAGGAGAGCTCATAAGACTGTGCTGACGGAACATCAGGTGGTGACCAGAAACCAGCTTTAACACGGACAGGTGCTAACGTGTAAATAAATATTTCTCACCTACCTGACAGGCTACTGAGTCGTTTCTGCTGTTCTGTGATAAAAGAAAAAACACACAGTGTGAGATTTACAAAGACGTGGTGAAACCGAGACATCCGGGCACAACTCGTTAGGATCCCAGTATCTGTGTCCTCACTGTCCTCTGGGTTTAGATGCTAAAACACTGTGCATCCAGTGAAAGCAGCGTGTTGACGCGGCCCTGTCATCCAAGTGTGGTATCTCATCCCCCTGCCCCTGGGTCTGCACCAGGACTCAGGCACTGTTACTGTTGTTCTGGGTGTTTACATCGTATCTCAGGATAATCTGGTCACGGAAGGAGACCCTCCACCTCCACTGGTTTCAAGGGAGCAGGACTTTGTACAACCCAGTCTTGGTACCTTCTGAGGAGAAGTCATTGTAATGGTAACCATAGCAGCTACTACCTCCTGAGCGCTTGCAGATGCCAGGCATTGTCTTAAGAGCTTTTCTACAGGTTAATGCTTTTAATCTTTGCAACAACCCTAGCAGGTAGGTCAGGGTGGTCAAGACACTCTCAATGAGGGGCAAAAACTACCCAAGAAGACACTGAAAACCAGGACTGGTCTAAAACCTGGAATCTCCTTATCTCCAGTCCAAGGATCTTTCCAACTCTAATCACCAGGTCCCTTTCCTTAACACTGAGGTCTATGGTTCTCACCCTCCTGGGCATTGTGAGGAAGGAGTCAACCTCTCGTTTGGAGAGTCCTGTGTGGACGTGCTACGGCATACGGACAAAAATGACCTCTACCTTCCACAGCTGCTAAATATAAAGCAGCCACACAGATAAACACAGAACGCCTGCCAGCCATGGGTGCTGCCATTATCCCCCGTGGTTGTGTCCCCACCCTCCCCGCAGAATCAGCGTGGGCAAGAAGTAAAGAGAGCCCGCAGCTGGTGGAAGCAGCCCTGTCCACCTCGGGCCCGTGGACGAGGCTCACTCACTCGGCTGGACAACAGAGGCCAGCAGAGCTTGAAGCACCGCGCTGCCAGCCACACTGACCAGTCATCACCTCCATTTCCTCATCTGTTAAATCAAAGCGCTCACTGGGTCCATGGATCCCGAACTCTGGTCTCCAAGCCAGGGGCAAGCTCTTCCCCAGCAGGCAAAAGCCAAGTTATCCTGTTTAAAACGCTATGTTGTTCCCACTTCTCAAGTGTGAAAGGCCCTTCTTTCCTGGAATGACATGCGATGAGGATAACAGCAATTGTCTTTCAGGGGTGTTATTTAGCAAAGTTAGAAAGTAGCAACTCTAGGGTGGTCCCCAGACGGTTTCATTTGACAGAAGTTTGGAGACCAAAGAGCTCTTGATCTCCAGTGTGGTCCATGGACCAGCAGCACCAACACGCCCTGCGAGCTGCTGAAAAATGCAGAACCTCAGCCCTGCTTCAGAGCTCCTGAATCTGCATCTGCATCTGCAAATCAAGAAGACCCCCTCCCCCCAGAGTCTAGGCACAATCAAGACTGCGGAGCTTTGCCCTGGCCGGGAGCTCAGTTGGTTAGAGCATTGTTCCGATACATGGAGGTTGTGGGTTTGATCCCTGGTCAGGGCATATACAAGGGTCAACCAATGAATGCATAAATAAATGGAACATCAAATCGATGTCTCTCTCTCTCTCTCTCTCTCTCAAATCAAGTAAACATTTTTAAAAACTTAAAAACAAAACAAAACACTGAGAAGCTTGGAGCTACGGAACCCATGCATCTCTTTCAGTCCTGGGAGTTTTCAGATTCCAGTCCTCCTACCAGACTGATCATAAGCAATCTGCCCTCAGACACATGTAAAGCGAAGTCTCAGGAGAGGAGCAAGGGCTGTGTGGTGCATGACCTTCCGAGCCAGGCCAGACTGCGGTGCCCTCCATCTGCTTGCAGCGAAGGGAGCTGGCTGCGAGAGAGGGGGCTATTGTCACACCATCCCCAGGGCCAGTCTAGGCAGGAAAAAAGGGAACCTTTCTTAGGATGACTAAACTAGAATCCCAGAAGTGGAGTAAAGTTATCATTCCCTCAGGAGACTTTGCAATAGTTAAGAAACTTTTTACGGGTATTATCTATGATGCAAAGCAGAGCAGCCAGGCTGGGTCAATTCCAAAGCAAAGCCAAAAATGCTTGACCTACACCCCACTGACGAGCAGTCCAGCGAGGCGCGGCCAGCGAGGCGCTTCCATTCTCCTGGTCTCTTCCTGCCGCACCTCCTTGGGGACATATGGTTTGCTCTTTATAGGAAGCGACTTTTCATTAAAAAACAAAACAAAACACAAATATACGTGTATCCTTTTCTGAAGGATGTGGGCTGCAGGCTGCACAACTCTGATTTTAAACCCAGGGGCAGGGCTTGGACAAAAGAGAAATTTAGAACCAATGACATCTGGGCAAATAAGAAGAATCCGTTTGTTCAGGAGAGGAACAAAAAGGAAGAACGGGCATGTCTGTGCCCAAAGACGTCTCACTCGGTGTCAGAGGACTTGGCAGAAGTAACTGACATTACACTTGGCATTTCCCAAAACCCAAGTTGCCTTGGGAATAAATCCCATTTTTAGAGAAACTGCTTTTCCTTCTGGGAACTCACTTGCTTCTATTTGACTGGATTTTTTAAAAAGATGAGTCATAAAGAAGTTCATAGAGAACCAAAATTTCACTTTGTCTTGCATTACGGACACTTTCTGGGCAGGGAAAGCTGCTGCCGAGAGGAGAATGGGCTCTTACATAATTTAGTGTGTGGGGGGGTGGGAGCACTTTTTATTTTTTGAAGAACACAGATTCATGGGTGAAAATTAATATGGGAGCCACCCAGAGTGAAAAAAATAAAATTACTAAAATAACTAAGATTGGAGTGGGAAGATTTTCAGTGAGAGAAAATGTTTCATTCATCTGTTTTTTAAGTTAGAAGCAGGAAACAGAAAACTCCATTTAATATGGAGAACAATTAAAAATAGATTTCAGCCTCTCATTCTCATCCAAGTTAAGGCAGAGAGAGAGGCGGAGGGGAGGGAAACTATGAAGTAGGCAAGCAGGGAGTCAGGAAAGGAAGATTTGGTACCGAGCTTTGAGCTCTGAATAATATAATAAAACCTCCCTCAGAAACACCCAGAAAGATGGAAAAGTTTACATTTCACAGTGCAAAGACCTGTGGGGACCGGGAAGCGCATCCCTCTATTGAATTCCAAAACCGAAACATTTGGATTTAGAAACATCTTCTGGAATCTCAAAGCAGAGGGTCAACATATGAATTATCACCTCAAAGCACTTCTGCTTCCCCACGATGCCTTGCAAAGAAGGGGAAGAACCAGCCTGAGGAACTGCAGGAAGCACACAGGAACCCCCCGGCCGAGCTGCCTGGGGTCACACAGCCACGCAGTCCCCACAGGGGGTGCTGAAAGGTGGCCCAGTGTGCCGACTGCTGGCAAGAATGGAGGCTGGTGAGACACTGAGAGGTTCAGTAGCCTCTGTGTCAGAGGCAGAAAAACATGTTTGACATTTTAGAAAATATTCCATAACTAGGTTTTTTTACAGTTTGGTGCTCAAGATGTCTCTTTCTAGAGAAATGATGTCAGAGCTCAATGATTCAGGGCACTTCTGAAAAGAGGGATCACTGCACCTAGAGTTTCCAAGCAAAGCTGTGATGAGAATTCTCACGATGAGGAATGAAGGGGCCCAGACTTTCCCTTTCTGCCTCTTTTTTCTTTTTGGTGCCACCCTCTGAAGACACTGTGAACACCCAAGGTGTGGAACACACACTGCAGAAGCTTACTTATTCTGATACCAGACGTCACCCCAAATCAGAGGTCTGTCCGCTACGATATACTTGGTGGGTCGTGGGAGGAAACTGGGGCCAATGTCCTCGGAGACGAATGAGATTTGTGAAAATTCGCGTGGGAAGGCAGACTTACTGTCCCGGGGTCACGGAACAGTGAGCGGAGGGGGAGGTGAGCAGGGAAGCTCCCTTACCTCGGTTGTGTTGCAAGAGCACAATAGTGGGATTGACAATGGTCGTGGAGGGGTAGGCAGAGGATGGCTTGCTGACTGGTGCAAAGGTTTGGGAATCAGTTCTAACACGAGATGAAGAAACTTCATTTAGCAGAGGACTTGAATCCTGAAAAAGGACAAACATAATTGTCAGTACACAAAACCTAGAGCTAATGCTTTTTAAAAAGAAAATTAAGGCTGTACAAGGACCTTAATTAGAAAAAGAAATGTAATCAATGAAACGTCATTGATTCCAGTTAGAAGCTTAATCTGGAATGCTTATTCTCTTCGCTGGTATTAGTAAGGGGCGAGAGGGAAGATAATGTTACTGGAAGTCGCAGCAACATTATTCATTATTTTCACCTGGTAAGAAACGTGGATCAATCCAGTTACTGAAAAAGCAAATTCAAATCAAAGTAGAGAAAAACATGCAAAACTCATGCAATTCCAAATGCGGTCCGAGCACGAGAGCTGGTTTAATAGGGAAAAATCAGGAAAGTTTAGTACACTGTTTACAGAAACATGAGACGATGTGAGATAAGAAGCCATAGGTGTAAGAGTAGAAAGGGTTAAGTACTGGTACTCTTGGAAAGCTATTCTTGTCATCCACATCACTGAACACCTTGCTAGCACTTGCTGCTGAGATTCAGATATTATCCTGTCCTACAGCGGCGCTTTTTCACTCCAATATCGACTGACAAAGATCTCTGAAGACTTGCGAAAATCCTGACTTTTAAAAACCTGAGGCTCTCAGCCAGAAATACCAATAAAATTATTATTCCTCCCATTACAATTTGCACGATGGGAATAAGGGCAGTCTTTTTAAAGACAAGAAAAATAAGACTTCGAAACGTAGCAAGGATATGTAAACAGTTTCCTCTATCACACCTATACATTTAGCAATGTTTCTATTTTAGAATTTATAGACCCTAAAGCCAGAATATCATTCTTAAAGGGTTTGAAGAACAAGACTTTGTTACTGTCTAGAACAGTGATGGCGAACCTTTTGAGCTCGGCGTGTCAGCATTTTGAAAAACCCTCACTTAACTCTGGTGCCGTGTCACATATAGAAATTTTTTGATATTTGCAACCATAGTAAAACAAAGACTTATATTTTTGATATTTATTTTATATATTTAAATGCCATTTAACAAAGAAAAATCAACCCAAAAATGAGTGTCATAGGTTCGCCATCACTGGTCTAGAAAACAGCATGGCATAAAAGCAATTCGTATGCTCCATCAGAGAGCATGGCTCTGTAAGTACCTGCAGGACTAGAGACACGGCCCCATCCTCTTCCTTCCATCCCCTACCCTAGCACAATGCCCTGCAGACAGCAGGGGCTCAGTAGTAAAATGCCACATGAATGACAGCAGCCACCTACCAACAAAGGTGCTTCTGAACAACTTGTCTTGAAAAGAACATAAAGTTCAGGAGAGGATGTGAGTGTCAGGACCCCGGACAGCTCCCGACACACAGTAGGGGCGGCTTCCTGGAACCCACCGGCTTGGTCAGTCCACTTCTGAAAGGGCCCCAATGTCAGAGCTGCTACTTAGGAGTGGCAGCTCAGGTTAGTGAATGAAACTTCCCCCCAAGACTTGAGGCACAATATGGTCTTGTACAAAAGTGCCTCGTCTTAATTTTTCATTTAAAAAGTGGGAAAACAATTACACCATCCTATTTACTTCCAAAGTGATATAACACAAATAAATGACATATCCATGAAAACTGCCCTAATGCAGCCAAGCAACACAAGAGTCGGGCACACAGCTTTCTGAAGTGTGCATACTGCCCATGAGGCCTGGAAGGACCATGTGAGCATTACCCATTTTATAAACTTCACTCTGTGGCACAAGTCTGGTTACTGACTAGATTCAGAACCTGGACTAATTAACGTGAATGGCTGCAGATGGAGCAGGTATCAATGATGGCTTGGCCGCCATCCACGGGGATCTGCTCTGCTTGACGAACCCCATTCAGGGGAGGAACCCAACAGTTGCCCTTTTCACCTTCTACTTCATTACCTGGGCCAAACTAGAAGTTATCAGGCCAACTGAAGTCTCCTGGGAAGTCTATACGTCAGTGGGGTTTGAGAAACTGAGGACACTGTCCCAACTCACCTGTCCTGGTCTACCTGAACAAACTCAACATGAACACCTAGAGCTCCTCAACCGAACTGCTCACCATGCATGTGAGCACACTGAAAACGCTGCTCTAGAGACACATTCTATGCCAAAGGGAAGAGCACCTGTATTCTCCAAAACAAGGGCAGCTGCTAAATTCACCTGTAAGTTGAGCTAGGGTAAGGTGAGTGCAGCAGGGAACAATTTAGCATTTTCCTCCACCTGGGCTGAGTTGTAGAGGTCAAATTAGGCCATCCAAGCCCCCGGGCCACGTTTGACAGCGTCCTGACCTAACCCACTGAGCTGCATCTAGAGTTTTGAGAAGGGTCCCAGCATTGTATCTGATATCTCACTGTAATTTCTCTTAAAAGCCTCCCTCCCCCAAAAGTTTCCCTCCTGCTTGATGAAACTGCATGAATCGCTTCAGTTTAATGAGCCACTTGAGCCTGATTTGGAGGCATACAAGGGATGCCAGTGAACATTAGTCCCATCAGCCAATTGCATGGCCCTACATCTCAAAATGTGGCCCATGCACCCTCAGCATCAGAATCCCCCAGGATGCACATTACCACGTAGTTTGAGTCCTAGATCCCTCCCCAGACCCACTTGATTAAAATCTCCAGGAGTATAACCTGGAGAGGACGATTTAAATGCATTTTCCTGCCGCTCAATGAGCCACGTACTCTGAGCTTGAGAACACAGCTCAGATGAACTCTCTAAGAGCAGGGGATGTGCCTTGTTCGTAGAGAATTGAGAATAATGCCCAGAACACGGTGGGGATTCAATGAAGTCTTTCTCTTGGGCTTTCCCCCCTGGCTTGGGGGCCTGTCCCTCACAGGATGGGCCCTTTAACTTCATGACCAGTGAGGCGCTGTTTTGCCACAAAGGCCTTGGGAGCCACTACTCAGGGTCCCCAGCAATTATCTGCCTGTTGAGGAAATAGTCCTAACATTCATACAAGGCTTTTATACCCATTTGCTCAATCATATTCAACTCTTTTTTTTTTTTTAACCTAGGCTCTGCCATGGCTGTGGACACGAGTTTGTTTACTTGCTAAATCCACACAAGAGTGACTCTCTTCCTCCCCTGCTCCCTGGTGGAGAAACGGCTGTTGGTTTTTCCACCTGATTTGTAGCTTTCCTCAGCTCTCAACAGTACACCTGCCTGCCTGTGGCGAGCACACCTAGCCAGAGGCAAGGCCACAGAGGCTGTTTTCTCGGCGGAGAACCAAGTTCCTTCAGGAAGATGTGCATTCCGAACAGGACAGCGAGGAAGAGGGAGGGAGACCGTGAGCAGCGGTGAGAGCCCGGGACACACGGAGGCATGCACTCGGGACAGCAGACCCGGCTCCAGCCATCACGCAAGCACAGGCAGCCAGCACTCCCTCGGACTTAGTACTCCAGTGAGAAGGGCTTTTACTGCCAGGGCAGACATTCAGGAAAGCCGTGAGGAAGGGACCCCAGCAAGCTTACGGTACTTGAAACAGCTCCCGTGAGGTCAGGCTCCGAGACGCTGTGCAGGCCCTCCGGGACTGGGGGGACCAGCGGAGGCGGTGGTGAGAAGGATGGTGGTGTCTGGCTAACGGGGGAGTGGGGGCTCGGAGCGCTGGCTGGCGGGCTGTGGTGGGGCCGCCTCTGCAGATGAGGGGGAATGAAATCATCTAGAGTCGGGAAGGTCAGAGGTGAGCCGGCAGGGGCGGCCGCCGGGACTGGGGGGCCCAGTGGCCCCCGAGGTGCTGGAGGTCTGGCAGTGCCTTCTTGCCCTCTGTCAGTATTAACCAGGTAGAGAGGGACAACTATGACCTCAGGCTGGGCTGGGCTGGAGGAAGTGGCGTCCTGTAGGAAATAAGGGGTCGTTACGCAAAGGGGGACGGCAGCAGGGGAGAAGGAATTCCATATTTAAACAGTTGAGCGTGGACATGCAATGATGTACTCTGAGAACTATTTAATCGGTGCCCTTTGCTCAGGGTGCATGAGACAGTCGGTGCTAGCCAGCTGGCCTCCTGACACTCTATGACACAGAGGGAACCCCATCCAACTTTACTTTCCATCCATCTATTTTTGAATCCTTTTAACACTTTAGGAGAGAGAAAGAGAGAGAACAGGCAGGCAAGCTGTGTTTAACCCCCAGAGCCGCTTGCGGAGCCTGAAAGCTTGGGAGTAAATACAATTTCTTTGGCACTTGTTATAAAACATAAACGCCGTGTCCCACCGAATTATCAGGCTACGTATTCCACACTCTGGCGTACTTACATATTCACAGGAAAGACAGACAGGGAGACAGAAAGGACTGTGCTGAGATGTTTAGAGAATTCGGGATTCAAGCTGCAGCGGTATTAACGAGGACAGGGAGGGGAGGGCAGCCCGGAACACAAACGAGCTCTCACATGAGTTCCAAAGAGACGGAGCAGACACACAAACATTCCTAGTTCCTTGCCTTGGCTGGATAACACGGCTGCAAAAGGTAAGGTTCTTTTCTCCTCCGGTTTTCGGGATCAGAGGTAACCTGGGGGCCTAGCACAGGTGGTCCCACTGCATCTGGGAACGAAGGCCGAGTCCCCAGGGAAGGACTCTCGCCACGGTTACCAGCATCTTTACGGGGGTCAAAGAATAGCTTGGAAGAGTGAGGAGGAGCAGAGCGTGGCCTTCCCGTGCCCGCTGAGCAGGAGACAATGCTGGGAGCCAGTGCTCGAGTGCCTTGGGCTGGGTCACGTGCAACACGAGAGCAGCTTTCCGATGCCACCGGGCAAATGTTACTGGCTAAACAAGGTACATATAAGCTGCTGACCTTTTTATTCCCAACTGCCTTATGACGTGGGTTAGAGCTCACATTCCCACTATAAACTGTCCTGGTGGCTGCACAGTGGCGCTGGGGTTGGGATGAAGCACTGGGGGACGTGGATCCTGGAAGCGAGGGCCCAGGACACAACACACCTTTGGGAGCTGATCTGGCTGCCAGGGGGACAGAGACAGGCTGGGGTGGTGAGGGGCTCTGCTGGCTGGGGGTGCCGGGTGGGGCGTAAGGCTTTGGTGAGCTCCGGTACAGCGAGTCCTTGGAGGCACCGTGGAGGGCGGGGGGCTGCCATGCAAAGTGGCCCACTTTAGGGAGAGGAGGGCGTGGGGGAGAGAGAACCTTTAGTATGATTTTCAAGACACAATATTAAGACAGAGAAAAAAGAGAGAGGAGGGGAAATGGAAAGAAGGACGACCATTAGAAACAGCAGCATAACATGATCTGAAGGAAAAAACAAATCTAGACAAGTTTTTAAGCAAATCCTCAGCGGAGACTCTCATGGAGTCTACATCTCTCTCTGGGTCAAGCCGAGGACCGACTCACTCACCTGGAGGGGCAGGCCCGACCCCTCACCCGCAGGAGGGAGCTCAGCCAGGAGAGCCCCGCGCCGAGCCTATGTTGACGCCGATCCATGGCTGACCTGCACTCTTAGACCTCCTGACTGAAGAAGGGTGCCCAGGGGCTAAGCCAGGGGAGGAAGCCCCAGGCCCCCAATTACTACACCTCCTCTCCTCAAAGATTCTCCTCTTTATGCTTTTGCCTTTAAAAGTTTAAGTTCACTGAAACCCTCAAGGGTCTTTCATGCTTTTCCCTCAGGAAACGGAGACTGGGAAGAGCCATCCTTATTTGTGCTCCCAGGAGACAGAGGTCTAACGGAATCCCTGAGCTCTAGCACTCACTTCCATAGCAGAACAAACTACAGCTCCCCAAGAAGAGAGCGCTAAGGGCTTAGCACCCACATGTGCTCTCTCCTCGCAGGAAACAAGTCGATGGAACTAATTATTAGAAGGAAGACAGGCGTGGGCTGAAAAGCACGTAATCTCCAATTTTTGACGTACATGGAACAAAGGGATCAGACAATGAAGCACTCGATTCGCCTAACAGATTGGGCTGTACCTGGTTTATCAAAGTCCAGCCATTCCCTCCCAGCCCACTAGGAGGCAGTGCATTCTGGAGGGATGTGATCAGCCCCAGGGCTCCTGGCTTCAGAGCTAGAAAGCTGCAGGTCACATCTCACTCCCTCTCCCTCCACATGACTCCTCCTTGGGGCTCAGTGGAGCAGAAGGGCAGGAAATGGGGTAAATCTCCAGACTGATCCTCATGTCAGTGAGAGCCATCTGTCAACCTGTGGCTCACCTGGGAATTAGACCATAAGATGCGCAGTTTATTTTCCTAGTGTTGAATGGCTGAATGTCTGTGTCCCCCCAAATTCATGTGCTGAGCCCCTAACCCTAAGTAATAACTTTTAAAGGTGGGCCTTTAGGAGGCACTTAGGATTAGATAAGGTCATGAGGGTGGGCCCCCATGATGTGGATTAGTGTCCTTATAAGAAAAGGAAGTGACCAGAGCTCGCTCGTTCGTTCTCTCTCTCTCTCTCTCTCTCTCCCCCTCCCTCCCTCCCTCCCCCCACCATGTGAGGACATAGTGAGAAGGCAGTCATCTACGAGCCAGGAAGAGAGCCCAAACCAGGAACCAAATAGGCCAGTACCTTGGACCTCGCAGCCTCCAGAACTGTGAGAAATAAGTGTATGTTGTTTAAGCCACCCAACTACGGTGTTTTGCTCCCGCAGCCCAAGCCTAGACACCTAGATGCCCTTCACTGGCCCCCGTCTTTAAAGATAACCGTCCTCCAAATGGCACAGGTGAGATCATTAGAGTGTGGTCAGTATCTGGGTTGTGACCAAAACTGGGAAGATACAAGGGTGTGGGTCTATTTTGAGGTTGCTTTTTATTTTTATTTCTTTGTGGAGTGCAGGTGGCAAGGGATAAAGGAATATTAGCAAGGGTAATTGGTGAGAAATAAAAACGTTCTATGAGCCTGGATTAGAATACCAAGCCAGAAGCGGTAGATGACCTATTCCTTAACAAACTCGGTTTTCAAATAACCTGGATGGAGCAGAGCCTCCTTGGGTATCTTGGGCTGACTTGATGCCTAGCCTTCCACAGGCTGCCCATGACAGTGCCGGTGGAATGCGGCCATGTGGCAGCTAAATACTGGCCAAGAAGACAAAAGGAGCAGCCCCTGTTCAGTAGTAACCAGAAGCAAAGCCTTCCGGACGTGCTCACCTGTGTTTATGGACTAAACGATGCTCTCTAGAAACAAAGTGCTTGAACTGACACGCACCCCAGGGACCGTGGGGGTAAGGTGATAATGGGGTCAGGGAAGTAAGTAAAAGACAATTTTGAATTAGGCTCAGATTTACTTTTACTTTGAGCTGGAGTGTCCCACGTGTGATTCCTTCTTGTCCAAAGATAGAAATCAATTGCAATGAGGTTTTAACTGGATTTGGCTCTGGCCATATACGGTGCCGCAGCTGCATTACATCAGGCACGAGCCCTCCCAGGGCCTTGACCCGGGGGCGAGGACGCCTCCCCAGAGTGCTGACCAGGCACTCAGAGCCAGAGGCCTTCCTGTCCTGGGGCTGCTTTTAGCCCCAAAGAAGGAGGGGGGCAGGCACAGTTCCTTTACATGAAGGCGCTGCTTCATTGTAAACGTGGTAGGAACCACACTGGCAGTCTGCATCCTCCCCAGCAGGCTACTAATGAGATCTCATTTCTCTTAGCAGAAGGTGAGGGCAATGAAAAGACGGGGCTGCTTGGAAGAATCTGAGCGGCTCCTAGTTTATACCGTTCCGGAAACTACCAATCCCCACCCCACTGGGGACACCAACACGATGATGCTGTCAGAGAGAGGGCAGCCCTGGCTCCGGTCACTGGGAGCAAGGACAGCAGGGCAGCAGGTCCAGGCTGGCAGGAGGAAAGGAAGCCTGTGGGAACATCAGGGACAGGCTCCCCCTGAAGCTTCTGGACCCCAATCCAGTCCTTCTGAGGAGATGCTAGGTCTGTAGGGATATGAGAGCCCCCAGCTACCTGGCTGTTCTGGGCCAGTGAATACTTGCAGCTTTGGCAATGGCTCTACAGACAAGTTGTATTCAGCCAACAAATTCGAGGTAAGGCATGATCTAAAGGTTCTTGACATTTGGACGGGCAACTTAACTCTGAACATACGGGATTCAACTGCTATAGCAGCGATTTACCAGGCTCCCTTTTAAAAAAGCAACGTCTCGGATAGTGACAGGTAAGAAAATATGCTATTCACAGGCGATATTACAGATGTTCACACTTATATTATGAGGCTTACAAACTCCTCGAGGGCGACATTTAACACAGTGATCTGGACAGAAGTGCCCAATAAAGCTGCGGTAAATTCATGTGTTTAAAGTGATTGTTTAGTTCACATGCTTTTAAAATCATCTCTTTTGAAGAACTGCTTAAGAAGCCAAAAGGGATCAGTGAGCTCTCCTTGAGCTAAGTCACCCAGGGGAAGAGGCGTGCTTGTACGTTTGCCTGGCGTGGGTCAGCGCTGTTTCCTAACCGGGGCCGAGCCGCCTGTACCCATTCTGAAGAAGGAAGCCTGTCGGACGCAGGCAGCACGCTTACCCGCCAGGAAGGTGGTAGAAAGGGAGAACTAGGGCACGCCACCTACTGGGCAACCCAGGTCCCGTGTCTGATGAAGACTTCGAGGCGCATTCGCAGCTCCTGGTTCTAACCAGTAGCCCTGGATGCACCCGGCCATGCCCCAGAGAGGCGGCCATGGTGGGGGAAGGCTTGGTGGTGCTGCTCGGCACACAAGGTAGACCATTAAGTGACCAGCTCTAAAGCTGGGAGGCAGGTCTACAGAGAGGAAGGAGGACGTTATCTCCGACTCGGTTTCTTTTCAGGGGCCAGTCCTCGGGAACAGGAACCAGAGGATGGCTAGAGAAGGCGTGTGGGAGCCAGGAAGGAAATGCAGAATTCCCGGGTCTGGTGGGTCCTGGGAGAAGGCACCCTGACAGAGGCAGGCACAGGGAAAGGACCCCCTGAGGAGCACATTTCTGTAGTACATTTTGCACAGCACAGCTTCCTTTAAAAGAAAGAACTGCTCCGTTCCATGGATGCGGCTCCTCTCTGTAAAGACGCCCCTCACAGATTGCCTGGATTAAAACAGGGTCCATTCCTTTCCTCAAAATAGCAAAGTAGCCACAGGGAGGGGAGGGCCATCAGGAAAACAACAGGACAAGGGACTGAAGCAAAATGATCTCTACTCCCAGTTGTACACCTGGGGGCAGGGTGACAGGTTTAAACTACAGGTGCTCCCATTTTGACTTCTAGCTGCTGCTCCTGGGCCAGGGCATGAGGTCTGGCCACAGCTCCCCATCTTAGGCTGAAAAGAGAAGAGTTGCTGGAACGCTTACAGCCCCACCTGCAGCTGGTTACCGGAATAAACACAAGAGTGCACTCTTGTCTTGAATATTACACTCTAAAGAGTTTTTAACAAACAGGCTCAGAACTTTTTCCCACATCCAAGGCCAAATGGCTTCCCTGTTCCAGAACATTCCTAAACACACGTTACTATTATAACACATCGGGCCTCTATTTCCAATCCCCTGGTGCAGACCAACCTGGTTCCACGCCTCTGCTCCCCTCAACCCCAACTCTCCCTACGGCTGGTGCCTGAGTTTCTCCAGAGTGGCCAACAGCACAACTCTGAGCCAGCCCGTTCCCCAGCGGAGCAAGCTGGCAGTACCATCTGAAGCTAAACGACTTAGGAACAGGTACCGCTCACTGGTGCCCACCCCGCCCTGGGCACATGCCTACCTGGGGCTTGTCGGAGGGAAGGTTGGGGTGCACGCTTCTGTAGCCCTTGGCAGCGAGTGAAGAGGGCTGGGCGTTTCCATTGGCATCAGCACTGGAAGAAAGCCGCCACTCATCTGCGATGGAAGAGAAAACAACACCCTCACTCGCAGGGAACGCTCCGGGTTCCCTCTAATTGAAGGGTCCCGGGTGGAAGGCAGGACAGAAGAATCAAGGGACACATACCTGCTGGGGGATTCTCTGACTCCAGCACTGTGTGTGGTGCAGAAAGGATGAAAACAAGAAAAAGGGAGGGGGGGGGGACAGAAATGGTTACATTTGCAGGAAACAAGCATGCGCCCGACAGAAAGGCGCAAGTCCAGCGCCCGGCCGCCGGACACAGAATGCCCTCAGTCCCAGCGGCCTAATTACCATAGGAACCCACTCTAAGCCACGATGTGCTCACAGGCGCTGACCTTTGCAAACACAAGGCTCACATTCACAGCAATGAAGAAACAATTGTTCCTTGACATTCTTATTTTACAGACTGAAAGGCAACAGAACTCCACTGTCCAGTTCCTCCTCACTAAATCTCATCCCCTCCTTCACGCCTGATGTGGGCACAGAGTGCCCCCTCCTCATTAGCAGGGGACTAATGAGCAGACCCCAGAGAGGGAGAGTAGATGAGCACTTTTCCCGTGGCTGCTGGTGCTGGGCTTGGGGACAACATGATTTCAGCCCAGCGGTATCTGCTGTGGTAAGGGCTTCTTTTCTCTCCACTGCTTTTCTTCTTTCTGTTAAACGAGCCACATAAACATTTAAAATCTAATCACCCTTTCTGAGTTTTCACTGCACTACAAGGCACCCTTGTCTCCCTCCAGCCGGCTACTATCCTGCCCTCCCAGTCATTGCTCAGCACATCTAAGACCTAAACCTCTCCTAACTTGACCCACTTAACACCATGGGGCAACAGGGCACAATGGTCATGAGCTCGGCTGGAAAGGCAGCTGGACCTCAATTCAAATCTTGACTCTATCACCTGTGGGCTCTGTGTCCCTGGGCAAGTGATAAGCCTCAGTTTCTCCATCTGAAGAATGGGGATAATGTTATGCCTGCTTCATAAGTGTTGTTTTAAGAATTAAATGATACAATGCATGAGAAATGCTTAGCCCACACCTGGCAGAGCTCAGTAAATGTCTACTCTAATCATCTTCTGCATCATCTCTCGCCTCTCTTCGCTATCCTCCATCTAGCCCAGTGGTCAGCAAGCTTTTTCTGTAACAGGCCACACAGGAAATGTTTTAGGCTCAGCGGGCCATATGGTCTCAGTGACGACTACTCAACTCTTCTGTTGCAAAACAAGAGCAGACATGGGTGATATGCATATGAGCCAGTGTGGCCACGTTCTAATACACCTTTATTTACGGACACAGATTTGAATTTCATGTAATTTCCAAGCGGCATATAATACTCTTTTGATTTTCTTTCAACCGTTTAAAAATAGAAAAATCATTCGTAGTTCACAGGCTGTACAAAAATAGGCACGGCCACATCTGGCCCATGGGTATATTTGCCAACCCCTGATCTAGCCAATCCCTCAGCTTCCTTCTTCTCCCTGGGCGCCTGCTCTTGTCTGACTCTGTACAGAGATAAGAGGGAACAACACAGCGGTCCTCCCAGCCCGAGGCTCCATTTCAGTGTGTCCCTCAAGGACTAGAGATGGGCTCTCCAGATGTCAAGTTGAGATTTACACACATTTATTGAACATTTTTCTGCCAGACACTGTTAGTCACTTTTGCTCCTATTTAGTATTTTAGTGCACACGAGGCTTTACTTCATGGACGAGGAAATAGAAAGGCCAACTGACTTGCCCAAAGTCACACAGCCAGGCGACGACAAAGCAGTCAGCCCCGGTCTCCAGAATGGAGTACGGCGCTCCGCCCACCATCCGTAGGATAGTCAGCAACCCCACATGGGCCACAAAGCAGAGCCTACATTTCAGGGAGGTGGGGGAGCCACAAGGTGTCAGAGCTGCATCAGAATCACACAGGACAGACTGCTGTGCTCTGCCCCCCAGAGCCTCTGACTCATGATGGGAGGTCAGTCCAAAAATCTGCATTTTTAACATGTTCCCAAGGGAGGCCAAGGCTGATGGTCCATAACCTACACTTTGAGAACCACTGATATAAGGAATACTTAAAAACATCCCTGGTTCTGGAAAACTAACTATATCTATTTTGTTTGTTTATTCCCCCTCCCCCCCCAATCTGGTCAGAGTTTTTACAGATTTCAGTTGTATATTCCTTTAGTAGGTTGTCTGTTGCATTTCTGCCCCTCCCTTATGGACAAATCACAGGTATTTGTCTTCTCTTCCCAACCACAGAAGTTGGGAAATTTATAGGACTTGAATTTTATTCACATTATTGCAATGTATTAGCTTGTGTGACCAAGGGCAAGCTGTCAATCACTCGAAACTTCACTCTCGTCATCTATAAACCATAATCCTTACTCGCAGGGTTGCTGGAGCTCCAGAGGTCAGGTATGTGAAGTAGCCTCAACGTGATCATTTTCAACCCTCTCTGTTGCATCCATCCAGAACCCTGGCCCTCACATCAAACAGATCCTGAAACACCAGGTGACACACTGTGACAATGACTCTCCCTACTCCCTGGCACCTGTCACTTCGACTGTCCCACCCTCCGTTCTACATTATTTCTCGTCTACCTTTGTCAATCATTCTATCAAGTTTATTAGATTTACAAATACACTAAAATATCCATAGGCTCTGAGTGAGGGGCTTTTCCTTAAAGGATGTGCGCTTTCTGCATGGACTTAGGGCACCTTATTTTGCACCTTCTTTGGTTCTCAGCTGGGTTGGTTCTACTCAGTGACACTGGCAAACATTATGTCGTGGAAAACTGAGAAGAGTCTGTGCCGCCGAAGGTCTGGGCATCATAAAGGGACTCCCGTGTCGGCACCAGACTGCCAGGTTTGAGTCCTGACTATCTCGCTAACTGCACATCCCGCAGCAAATGACTTAGCCTCATTTGTGAGAGAGACATTATCTACCTCTTTTGAGTCATGAGGATCAAAGGGAAATGTCTGGCATAAGTATGAGCTCAGTAAACTAGGAATCCAAAACATAAGGGAAAAAAATCTGCCCAGACAGAGAGGTAAATTAGAGTTGCTAACATCTGCCATTTGATAAATAGTGTCAAGAACATAATATTCTTGGGGCTCAACCCACTTTTTCTTCTAATTCCAAGTCATTAAAACGGTTCCCCTTTCCCTGTGGGTCCCAGGACCTCTCTGAGCAGTCCTCCCCTCTCATCCTTTATAGGACAGCTGTGTTTCTGCAGTTTCGTCACCCTTCATCCGTTACCCAGTCTTCTGAACCTTGAAGGCTGGTGGCAGCAAGACCATTATGTGCCCGAGTATAGCATGTGAAATCTTATACACATAACCATCAGCTATTAACTTTGATGTGAGGAGACTATCAGAATGCTTCCTTCAATAAATGTTGGAAAGCTGGGTCCTAGGTAGGCTCTACAGCTCGGAAGAGACCTGAGCCTTCCCACAAGAAGGAAGTAATATTTATTTTGCCTTATCTCTTCCTCCATCTGTCTTTCACAGACAATCTTTTCTGGCCTGAGACCACAGCCCCCTGACATTTTTTTTGTATCTCTTTCTGTGCTAATTTCATTTTGATCTGTTCTACATGGTTTTACTGATCAGTTCTTCTTGGAATCTTAGGATAACTTTCTCTGAGAGAATTGACACATTCTGTAGAGTGTCTAACAGATGAGATGTGTTAAAGTGGCTCTACGAGTGTTTTAAGCTCTTTATGTTTATTTTTTACTCATGTTATGTGGTAAAGAACTTAACCTTACTCAAAAAGACATCTGGCTCTGCCCTCTGACTTCTGAGAGTTATTCTCTAAACCCCTGGAAGGTCATCCTGATAGGAGTGTCTGTGTGCCACACCAATAATGTGATTGATTAAGAGTATTAGCACATGGGCAGTGGGAAAGCCTATGTAAGGAAGTCTGAACAAAAACTCTGGACATGCCCAGCCAGTGTGGCTCTGTGGCTGAGCGTCAGCCTATGAACCAGGAGGTCATGGTTCCATGCTGGGTCAGGGCACATGCCTGGGTTGCAGGCTTGGTCCTCAGTAGGGGGCATGCAGGAGGCAGTCGTTTAATGATTCTCTCTGATCATTGATGTTTCTTTCTCTCTCTCCCTCTCCCTTCCTCTCTGAAATTAATAAAAATATATTTTTAAAAAACCAACAACTCTGTGGACACGTGGCTCAGGTGCACTTCCTGGTTGGAATATCTGAGCATCGTGTACACCTCAAGGCCAGGAACTGCACGTCCTGACTCCACAGGAGAGGACATTGGAAACTCTGTGCTTCTCCTGCTGATTTTAATCTGAAATAAACCATAACCATGAGCACAACAGCTTTCAATGAGCTCTTTGAGTCCTTCTAGCAAATGATCAACCCTGAGGATGGTTTTGGGAATCCCCTGAACTTGGAGTTGGTATCAGAGTGAGGTTGTTCTCTTTTGGGGAATTTCCCGCCATCTCTCGGCCCTGATTCTCACACATGTGCTCATAAAAAGGACTCTGCAGTAACAAGGGCAGGAAGTGCCTTTAACTGCTTCAATGTTAATTTTCTCATGACACCTTTCTGCTCCTGCCATTTCTGGAGAGCAAATGCGAGGCTCAAACTAGAGGAAATGAGCTGATTGCAGGTCCAAGAATCTTCATGTCCAAAGCTGACTTGTTTCTCAAGAACCGGGCAGGAGTGGAGCCAACTGGCACAGAATGAGCAACATGTAAGATCTGACCTGGCTTTTGGCTTGTGAGTCAAAATGCAGGGACTGATGGTCTTCAGGCTACACCAGACAGGAAGTGTATCACACCCATCACCAGTTCAGGCTCCCTGTCTCCTTTTGAGTAAAAACGCCCTGACCTGGGATGTGGTGGGGTCACTCTGAACCACAGGGCCAACACTGAGACTGCCAGGCAATGGCATCAGGAAGCAGGGGTAAGGTAATGCCTCACCCAGTAACCTTAGTGGTTCTGATTCAAAAACCAAGGCCCACGTTCTGAGATTAGGAGGTTGGTTGGGAAGCCATGGTCAGGGACCCAGAGTCAAGCTACCACTTGAGAGCAGGAGTCTGGACTGTGGGTTTGAACTGGGGAATCCCAAAGGCTCCATCTGTCCCTGATCCCCAGCATCTCCACCTCTCCATGTTCATGTGATCAGGTGGCTCCCAAATCCATACTTCGACTCCAAATTTCCTCCTAGAAGTTCTTTCCTTGCCAAAAAAATTCAAGATGTCTAACAAAGGAATTCAACAGCCCTTCACCTTCCTGCATAAATCCACCATCCCCATGAGTGCCGGTTATTCTCCTGTCCGCACTGAGCTTTACCCCTCCGTGCTCCTTACACACACTGCACTGAGCCCTGCCCTTTCACTCTTCCGAATCCACTCACCCTTGGCCCCTGCTCTTCATTCCTGCTGCCACCACGCCAGGCCCAGGCCCTCATGGCCTCTAACTGAAATTACTGAACCTCTTTGAAGGGCCTCCTGTCTGCAGTAACTAGAATGGTTACATGCCTGGCACTGTGTTAAGTGTTGACATGAAAGAGCTCATTGAATCCCAACAACTCTATTACGATCATTCCTATTTTGTAAATGAGAAATTGAAGCTCTCTAAGGCTGAGTGATTTGCCCATATCACAAAGACGGTAAGTGGCAGAGCTGAGCCCTCAGAGAGCTCTATGATTCAAGGACAAGCCCAGCATGAGAGAGTTGGAGCAAGGACTGGAAATAGGGGGTATCTCTGAAATGTGGGTGTCAAAGGCCCATGTAGGGAAAGAAATCAGATGCAGGTGCTGGGCAGTGTGGGGGGCTGGAGCTTCCAGTCTAGGCCAATGATCAGCAACTTGGGAGACCTATAGGAAATGGAAGATGGTGGCAAAGGCAGGTAGCAAGGTGGGGGGAAGGGGTAGACAGAGCAGCCGGGGGACAGATACTGGCCTAGTGATCAGGGAGGGAGCTGGGCACTATCTGACATTAGTTCTCTGTGAAGACATTGGGAGTAGAAAGCATGCCCAATCCTTGGCAAGAGCACTCATTACCGCACACTTGGTAGGGCTTTCCAGTCCAGGCTGGGCATGGCTACCTGCAAATATTGTTCAAGGCTGTTTTCATGAGGCAGGTCCAGGCCCAGGGCCCCCCAGGCCCAGGACAGGACTTCAGACTGGTGTGGGCCAACAAGTTGTCATCCAGAGGCCCAGAGGGAGGGAGTAGGCAGGGATGAGAGGAGGACGAGGGAGCCAGGATGCTGGTACATGCGCAGCAGAGTACAGCGACAAGATCCCCACTCCTGAAGGTCCTATCTCTAGAGTCACATCCTTTTAACCTCACCCCCAGTATTCACTCGTTCCAGCTCTTAATCAGTACGGGGCTCCCCGCCCCCCCTACTTAAAGCAAGTTTATTTCTTCCCACTCAAACTGCTCTAGTACACAATCTTGAATTTGTCCAGTGAATGGAAATCAGTTTGTGACAGGTCAGTTCCAAACTTGTCAGGCCACAGAGCATTTTGGGACTAGAATGGCTTAGAAACCATGTCACCCAGGCCCTCATACTTCAGATGTGCTTAAAATGTGTGACTTAACCACGGTCAGAAAGCAGGTAGTGGGTTAGGGGCCCATGCCTGGCTCTCCTATTACAACAAACTGCCTTCTGTCCTCACCTAATGCACCCAGAATCATTCTCCCTTTTCCTCCCTTCTCCCCGCTTCTCATCACAATTCCCAGCGACTCGCTTAGTGTCTGACACAGAGATGATGCTAAGTGAATGGCTGAATGAATAATTTGGATTCAGTGATCTCAATTTATGAGGATGAAAATAATCTACTAAGATTAATTTACTGTGAAGTGTGAATGACTGATAGCTATCCCCTAATTCTTCAGAGTTTTTGCATTTTAAAACATGATCTTTTATCACCCAAATTAGCTGTAATAAATTTATAAGACATACAATTATTTGGGAACTAGAGAGAGTTTCCTAAAGTGACTCAAATAACTGCACAGTCCTGTAGTGAAAGCCTACTGACAGTGTGGCCCTGGGTGGGTAGCTCAGTTGGCTCAAGTGCCATCCTGATATGCCAAGGTTGAGTGTTTGATTCCCTGCCAAGGTACATATAAGAATCAACTAATGAATGCATAAATAAGCGGAACAACAAATCGATCTCTCTCTCTCCCCACTCCCCTACCGCTTTCTCTAAAATCAATTTTAAAAAAAAAAGAGTAGCCACACTATAACCACCAGGGGGAGCTCAAGGCTCCTCCTTCCTTTCACCTCTCATTCACCACCAGAGAAAGGGCCAGGGGGTGACCGGTGTTTTATTGGGCCACTGGGCGGGAGGAGGGTTTTTCTCTTTAACCATCACTTGGGATTCTCTCTTCCCCTAAGGTCCTCCAGCTTGGGAGCTGGATTTTCCCAATTAGGCCTGAAGAGGCTGGATTAGACTTGTTTTAGGAAGAAATTATTTTGCCTTCACTTCCTGGCCCCACCTTTCCTGGAGACGAGAATGGCAAACAGCAGTGGGGCAAGAGTCAGGTGTAAATTCAGAAATCGAGGGCCACGAAGCTACTTTTGAGTTTTAGTACTGGAGGCCACTCACGTTTTCCCTTAGTCAAGGGAGAAGAAGCTCACACTCCAGCCTGGCCTCGCCCTCGGACATCTGCCTTGGCACCTGCTCCCGGTGGATGGGACAGAAAGAAAGCCAGTTCCCAGGATGCTGGGCGCTGACCACCCCCATCTTGTCTAATTCCCTTCTATCACCACACACTGCTCCCCACTGTGCCAAAGAGTTTTCATGCCCCCCTTCCTTTCCTCTCCGGTCCCAAGGGGGTTGTCATCACCCCAATTCCTTTTCTACCTTCATTTCCTTCCTTTAAGAAACTCCCATCCCCTATAATAGCTCCCAAATGGGGTCCTCGGACAGCAGCATCAGCATGACCTGGGAACGTCAGAAATGCAGAACCTGGGTCGGCACCCCAGCCCTTCAGGGGGGAATCAGGAATTCTAAAGCTCTGACGCGGGCCCAGGAACCTGTATTTTTATCCAGGTGATTCTGATGCAACCCAAGTGTGAGGACCGCCCACTGCCCCCAGAGTGGAGAGGGCCGTCCCGCCCGATCCTGACGGTGCCTGTGGGACCTCAACATCAGCGTTTCCCAACTCCCAGGACCCTTGGGTTGTGGAGAGCTCTCTCCAAAGCAGCCAAAATAATCAGGTCTTCCCAAGGTTACCGAGCATTTAGAACTAGAATGGCTTGTAAGCCATCTTGCCCAAGTCCCTCAGGTTTCACATGTGTTCAAAGGTGTGACTTATCCAAGGTAGGAAAGCACTACCAAGGTAGTGGATGAGGGGCCCATGTCTGACTCTCCTGCTGCAACAAATGCAGCCCATTCCATGCACCAGGTGTGGTGCAAAACACCTCCCGCACTTGCATCCTCACAAGGATGCGGGAGGCAGTGCAGATGAGATTACCAGCCGTGAGAGACTAACTATATCCCCGGACTCGCACAGCCAACAGGTGAAGAGCCTGAACAAAATCTACCAGCTCCCGAAGTCCCAGGTCTAAACCTAGACACCCAGGCTTCCCGAGTGGCGGGTCGTGTGGGGAGCTGGGCTTCAGAGGGGATTCTTCGTCTCTGTAGCTCCTAGTCTGCACTGGTCTGAGACCTGCTCTTTTGGTCCTGCTCCCTGAGCTGCCAGGTCACCCCCCGCCAAGCCTGACCCCTGCCCCACCTCTGCTCTCCTGGGAGCCAGGTCAGTCAGCCGCCTGAACTTCTCAGTGCCCTCTGGCTTCCTCTCAGCCCCAGCCCTGCCTGGCTAGGCACAGCCAAGCCCTCAGAGACACCTAACCACTAGCCCATCTCTCCACTGTCCCCCCCCCCCCCAGACCCCCAAGCCTCTCCGTCCTCACCAGTGCAGTCAGCAGAGACCGCAGCTCTGAGATAGGGTGTCTGCCCACCTGTCCAGTCAAAAGCTAAAATAAAGTGGTGGTTGCTGCTGTGCCTCTGCCAGAAGCAAGAGGGCCCTGTCAGTTCAGGGCATTGATCACCATGTATCGCAGATGGGACAAAAAGCTGAGTGACCCAGGGGCCCCTGGGAGAATCAGGAAGCAGCTGATGAATCTGTGCCCTTCCCACGTGACTTGAATACCTGCCCCCAGTCGCAGGGGTGGCTCACCTGGTTTGCTTTCGTATTGTGGGCTTTCCTGAGGGCTCACCGGGCTACTGCTTGGGGTGTCCCTGTAGGAGGATGAGGCCCGGAGAGTCACGGCTCCCTTCCCAGTGCAGACTTTTGTAGGATCCATGTCTGAAAAGGAAAGATCCAAAAGGGAGGACTGAATGCACAGCTCCTAGAGGATTAAGCAACAGTCAGCAAGCAACTTGTTACAGCTGGGGGATGAGATGAACCTGGGCACAGCCGCACAATCTTATGGTCAATGAGAATTAATTTGTGGGTAGTGGAGAGGAATGAACCCCACTTTCAGAGGTTTACCACCCATCATGAGGTTAGGGGGAAATGGAGTATATGTATGAGTTACAATATCAGCTGAAGACTTTTCAAAATGAAAGCGGGTTTATTTCTTTTATTAAATGAAGTGTAGGTTGGTGAGCAGATGTCTGACCAATTAGTAAGGCACAGAGTTTATGAAAGATTTCTCAAGTTTCCAGACCATCCGTCTTAGAAAAGCTCGAGGCACATCAGGAATTCAGTGGTTTTCTGCAGAGAATCACTTCTCTGGTGGGAAAAGGAAAAGAAAACCTGCATCAGCAAGTCAGGACCCTGAAAAGATGAGACAGGATCTGCTGCCTGGGCAGAAAGACCAGGGGTGAGAGAGCCTCGCATTCCAACTTAATGAAGAAAATTCACACCAAAGGAAAGGACCAGGAATGCTAAAGCCTTCCCTGAACAGTGTGCGCGGCACCCAGCCGAGCCGTCACTGGGTCCCGACCTCTCCGCAGGTGACAATGGCCTAATAACAGGCCCGGGTCATCTTTCAGAATCGCACTGAGAAGGGTTTCAAAACAGGCTTCAAAAGAGCTGGCTGCTCACCCTCCCGAGAGTCGGCCCGGGAGGCGCCGCCAACGCAGAGCACAGCCCTAGCAGGCGCACGTGCTCACGCTTCTTTCTGTGCGGCCGAGCTGAACTGAATTCCACAGCACAGCTGGGATCGCTGACCTAAAATCATCAAGCCTAGGATGATGAGGTCAAGTTTAAGGGCAGTGGACAGGATGGGGGCTCAGACATCCACCTCATTCCCAGGCCTGTGCCAGGCAGAGAGAAGCGAAGCCTCTTTTCCAAGTTCAGCCCAATTCAGAGGGTCCCTGTGCGGCCAATGAATTCTCCGGGAGACTGGAGTTCTAAATAAAGTACCGGGAGCTGGAAACCTCTAGGGAGAGCCTAAGAAGTCCATGTACCTCAGACCTGCACAGAGTAAATGCTTAGCCTCTGGGTGACCCTTCTCCTAAAGAGGGGAAGGGGCACAAGGTAGCTGTCAGTTTGTCTCCAGACTGGCTGGCTCACAGAAACACACACACACACACACACACACACACACACACACACACACACAAAAACGAAGAAAGGAAACCAACCGAGGAAGTGAGAGGGAATGGCTCCTAAGCATGCAAGGATTAAGCCTCCAGTCTTTGTTAGAAGGAAAGAAGAAACACCATGCATGATCTGCTAACAATTAAAAGAAGAAACCAACCCAAGGAGAGGTACCTGGAGGGAGTACTAGGCCTGGAGAGCTTTTCACTGTCTTCACAGGAATTATTTTAACAGCAGAAATAGAGCGTGCGCGTGAGGGGTCGGTGGTTGCTGCAAACACAAAAGGGTAAATGGTGCCTCCAGGAAGGACATTGGGAAACACTCAGGCAGTTGAGGGATTCGGCAGGGACAATAGGAGGAAGTCGCCCACATGAAAAGAACACTAGAAAGAGCAGTAGATGCAGTGATTTGAAATAACCTGCTTTCTCTCTTTAGAGTTCTGTGCCAAGACGGCAGAACCCTCCCTCCTACCGGTGCCCGCGTGCAGTTGGTCAGTGTCTCTGTACCTCCTGCCACACCAGGAACTTGCCAAGATTTAGAGATGCAGATGGCCTGGCAAATAGAGGAAGGGGAGAGAATCAGGGTCCAGGGGGCCCCTGAAAGAATGCTGGGGTGTCTGTGCTGGGTTGTGGGTGGGTGCGCTCCGAGAAGGAGAGCTATGGCTCCGGCCCCAGGTGAGTGGAGGAAGGAAAGGGACCAGTCTGTGAGTTGCCTGGTTCCTTCAGCCATCACAACTGCTTCCACAGAATCGTACCTTCTGGGGTCCTGTGCCTCCTCTGACAAGTATAGCCCTCTGTCCCCAAGCAAATCAGAACCCCCATCTGTCGGGCAGCAGATGGTCTTGCTTCAACCCACCCTTTCTCGGGCAAGAGGCTGCCAAGTGTCCAAGTGCATATTCAAGACTCAGGGCAGCACCTAAGTGCGCAGCCCGGGATCTGACACCGGCTGAGCTTTCAGACCGGGATAACTCGTGGGGCGCGGCAAGGGCTGCACGTGTGAAGGTACAAACACGCTTTCGCAGCAATCCTGTTTATTCACTGCTCTCGAAGACCAGCTGGGAGACTGGCTGGTGGGAGACTTCTGTTATGTTACCACTTTCAGAGGAAGAAGCCAGAGGCTCAGAGAGCCGCTCAGAGTCACCCAGCTTCACTCAAGGAGAGAGGCTGAGGCTAGAGTTCACTGTCCCGGCACTGGGTTCAGGGACCTCCTCGGGCCACCAGGATGACCTATGGGTTGCATCTGCCTCCTCTTCCCAACCAAAGGTGATTTTTACTGAAGAGGGAGCAGAAACCACCTCCATCTGCCGCCCTCCCCCCGCACCCCTGGAGCCTCTTCCTTAAGTGAATTCACAGGGACGGTGTTGCTGGCACCACAGGCTCTTTAAGCATCAGAGCCCATCCTCTCCGTGCTCCTCACTGGAGGACTGAACCCTCCCCTGGAGCCACTCCACAGGCACCGCCCTTCAACATCCCCTGGTACAACTCCGCCTGATTGTCCAGGACCCCGAGAACACGGCCCCACACCCTGAGTACAGGAGGGCGGCCAGCAGGGAGGCAAGAACAGGCTGGCAGCAGGACACCTCTTGCCAGAGAAAGCGCCCCAAACCACCACCCCACTCCCCACCCCTCCGCTCTCTATGCCTTCCCTCTCCGGCTCTTCCTTCCGACTTTGCATTTGGCCTTGTCGAAAAAGGAATACTTGGCTAAACCAGCCTAAAATTACAAAAGCCAAACACATCAAACTCTCTGAAGTTACTTAAATGCCCAATGATAAGACTTCTGCCCTCCCTCTTGATACCCTAAAATTTAGTGGGGTGAGCATGGAGAGAACCACTGGCACCCAGAATCTGAAGCAGGAATAAATACTGCAGATCATGCAATGCCTGTGCTTTCTAGTCACACCCATGAGGACAAAGGACCTCCTGAGATGTCTGTACCTTATCACTCCAACCCACCCCTGGCTGCAGAAGAGCCACGGGAAGCCCCGCTGCCTGCTACCTGGGCAGCCACATCGAGACATTCGGGATGAGAGATGACAGGGCAAATGGGACCTCAAAGGTCATCTTATCCATCACTCATTTCGCACTTAAATCTTTCATCCTAAAATTTTTAAAAACTGAAAATATGAGAGGATGTGCATGAAATGAATGCCACTGAAATCATTTATTTCAGCAACAAAGGCTCCTGCCTCAGGGTCAGGGCTATGAAGGTGAAATGCCAGTGAGGAAAACTGCAGGCTGATAAATGCCATATGCAGCAGGCAGGAGGTACACCTTGGTCTGTATATTTGATCTGTTATTTGAAACACCCTGTGAGCAAGAGACAGTTTTTAATAAGTCACCTCACAGTGGGAAGCAGCAGCCTCAGACTCCTGAGATACAAGATCGTGCTCACGGTTTCAGAAACTCAGTGTGGGAAACAGGTCTCCAGTAAAGGGCCTGATTGGACCATGACTATTCCCACTGGGCAGGTGGTCCCGCCCCGACATCCTGCTCCTTCTAGAAACGCTTCCCAGTACCAAGCTGGGCTTCCCTTTAAAAGCCTTACCTTTGTCCTGCCCATTGCTGCCTGGTGCCAACCCGTTCACCACGGCTTTAGAAGCGCCAACGTCACATTCTGGAGAAAGAAAGAAGCATGAGGCTAGAGATGAGGTCTCCCCAACATTTGTTGAGTCCCACCCGGTGGGAGGTGCTGGGGACGTGGGGGCTGCTCAGGCCTGGAGATGGGCCCCCTTGGGTGTCATGGGAGAATTCGGAGAACTGTGTGTTGTCTGGACCAGGAGAGAAGGCAAAAGCTGTTTTCATGCTGCTCTGTCCACCAGAGGTTAAAACAAGTGTTTCCCACAGAACTGCTTTCTTCCAAATGATCATTTTTAATAGCGGCATATTATTCCCCCATGTAAATACACAGCATGAACCTAGAGAGACCCCACCTTTATGTGGATGGTGTTTTTGTTTTCTTGGAATTAAGATGGAAATTCCCAAGAGTGGAGTTGTCAGGTCAGAGGGTCCAGACTTTTTGGACTCTGGCTGTGAAAGCCTCCTTCTCGCACCACCCGAGAGGGAGAAATAGGGAGACCTCCCACAGGCACTTCCACACCCTTGCCCTCCAGCCCGGCCCTCCCTTCCTACTTCCTCTGCCCTTATTTTGCCAGGAGTAGGTAGCAATGCCAGTTTGGGCTAATTTTGATATTAGAAGAACAAAAACTCTTTAGGCTGCAGAGCCAAAGTTTAAAAAAATGGTAACAAAAACGAAAAAGCGTTACAAAGCAGGAGCTGCTGGCAGTACCTGAGCCCCTTGGAGGGAAAAGGTGTGCGGCATCTTATGCATAACAAGAGCACCGAAGGCATCAGGGGCCAGTCCCTCCCCTCCCAAGGAGGACATCGGAGCTGGGAACCCATGGGCGGAAGACCAGCCAAGCCTGGCGCCAGGTACTCAGTACTTAGGGAGCAAGGCCTCACTTAATCCTCACACAATCCCAATGGATTGGTGCTTCTAGGATGTCTGTTTTACGGAGGAGAATGCAGAGAAGGGTCCACCACAGGCCCAAGGTCACACAGTGGTACCTGAGGAAGCCAAGTTGTGGCCCTGAGCTATCCCACCCAGAGCCCTCCTCAGTCCTAAGCACACACTGTCCACCCAGTTTAGGACCTGGCTAAAAAGGCACTGTATGTAAATACGTGGAAAGACTTGTTTCTCATCCTCTGAGATTTCCGGAACATGCTGGAAATTACTCAGGATTGGAACACCCTTGAATAAGCTAGCCCTTTGGTCATCCCCCTCACCCCCACAGCCTACAGGTCATGGGAGGCTCCAGGCAGGCTCGGTGGCTGAGGCGGGCTCATTGGCCGAAGCGGGCCCAGTGGCCGAGGCGGGCCCAGTGGCCGAGGCGGGCCCAGTGGCTGAGGTGGGTCCAGTGGCTGAAGTGGACTCAGGGGCCGAGGTGGGCTCAGTGGCCGAGGTGGGCCCAGTGGCCGAGGCAGACAGGTCTTAATCTCCAAATGGAAACTTCTCTGCCTCAAACTCTTGGCTGCACAATGAGCAGGGGCTTGTTCCATTCCCCGTCTTCCCTAGCCCATGCTTTCCACCCCAGCTCTAAATGCAATATACTCAAAACTAGTCATTTGTGTAGGTCTTGATTTTTACTACCACATGCACAGCAAAAGGGGAGCACACCACTCTGTCAGCCTGGATGAAGTAAGTGTTAGATTAGCTTGCACCCAGGGGCAATTATAGTCCATTGGTTTCTTTTTGCTGCACTCACTGGGATTAAGAAATGCCACTGAGGTGTATAGATGTCAAAATTTATCAAATTGTATACTTAATAGATCCACAGTTTACTGTATGCCAATTATACCTCCATAAAGTTGTTAAAGATAGAGAGAAAGGAAGCTATTACAAAGATGAGGACACATGCATGTAAAGTGTATAGCATAGTTCCTGTCACGTGGTAGAGAATAAATCCTCAACAATGCATGTGATGATAGTGATGATGACGATTTATGACAAAGCTCTGGCACTTACCCAGGTCTCAAAAATAAAAAATGAAATGTAGTTGGAACCTTCAGAGTAAGTAAGAAATCTGGGTAAACTGCCCAGTTTTGTGGATTTGTCGAGAAGAAAAGGGTTTTAAATGACTTACCAGAGCTCATGGTGGTGACAGGACAAGTCTTTTGCAACTGGGGCTCGGCACTGCTCTGCAGAAAAACAAAACCACACAATGAAACCAATGAATGGCAGGTTCAAGATAAGTCCCTGTGGCTCACATTGAAAAGGAAAAAACAACACATACATCCTTGATAAAACAGAGCTGAACCAGGAGTCAACGTGGCCAAGCTTCTGGTCTGCTGCGTACTAACATGACCGCGGGCACATCACTCAACCACCTTGGCCACAGTTTTGTTGCCCGTACTTGATTTCAATACTATGCAAGGAAGAGTCCAGCTCTGATCCTATATAATAAAACCCTGATATGCAAATCGACCAAACGGTGGATCAACCGGTCACTATGATGTGCATTGACCACCAGGGGGCAGATGCTTAATGCAGGAGCTGCCCCCTGGTGGTCAGGGCACTCGCACAGGGGGAGGGCCACTCATCCAGAAGCCGGGCTCACAGCAACATTTGGGCCGTGAACCGGGCCTCTAGTATTCGAATAAAACCCTAGAGTTACATGAGTGCACATGGGTCACGGAGAGAGAGAAGTTCGGAAAGAACCAAGTTTTAGGAGAAAGGTGAAATCACAATATTATTGGAGGTTAATAATAACAACAACAAAATCAGCAGCAATAAATATGGCTTATAAGGCACAGGGAAATGTTCAAGATGCTTTAATTATGTTAATTCACTTGATCCTCACAATGACCCTACAAGGCAAGCACTAACACTGTGTTGGTTCATACAGATGAGGAAACCGAAGCACAGAGAGGTGAACAAAGAGTTGCTACTGGAACCCAGACAGCCTGAATCGAAAGCCCAGGCTCTTAGGCACTGCACTCTCCACTGACACTCAAATGAATAACCCTCTCAGTTAGTATGGTCTCATCACCAGTAATGTCACTAGTTTCTTCTTTCCTAGAACTTCATGTAAATGGTATCATAGTGCATGTAATCTTCTATATAGCTTTTCTTGCTCTGCATAACACAATTTAGCATTTGGCCACATATATGTGGGCCTATTTCTGGACTTCATTCTGTCCCACTTATCTTTCTTTATGCAATAACTCACTGCCTTGATTACTATAGCTTTATAGTAAGTGTTGAAATCAGGTAGCATGAGTCTTCTAACTTTGTTCTTTTTCAAAATCGTTTTGGCTTTTCTAGGTCCTTTGCATTTTCATATAAAGTGTAGAATCATCTTTCAACTTTTACCAAAAACAAAAACAAAAACCTGCTGGAACTTTTATTGTGATCATTCTGTAGTAAGAAGGTCAAGGTATGGTCTGAGGCTCTGCACAAAGAGACATGCTTTAGTTTCCTTTCTAACATAGGCACCTGTTTCCTTTCTAGGTGGCTGCCTTGCTGTCCTTGGAAATGACCGAGTAGAATGCTCAAGGCAACAAGCAAATCACTCCAAGTCCTGTGCAGCCCAAATCAACACGAACTTTGCCTCTGTCACTGTCAATACACCTGAGACGACCCATGACCTTCAACAGCCCCCTTAGATCATTCTCTAAGCGGTGGTTCTCTCAGTCCAGGAGCACAACCTGTGTTCTGAACGCCCCAGTGGTTTCCAACCCTGGTTGATAATACATCAATTTGCTTCCCAGGACCAAAAGGGCTGTGGTGATAGCATCCAAACATTTTCATGTAAAACTTTATTTTGGTAATCAAATTTTTATGTTAAGGTTTTATTTATTTAGTTTTTAAAGCATTATTTAAGAAATGGTATTATTCAACCACAGAGCTATCTTAACAGAAAAGAACTTTTATTCCTTTACAGTCCTTCTTACCTTCATTTATTTGTATAAATAGCGCTTACATAGTTGTAACCATATGTCTGGGCAGTTTTGTGTTCTAACTTTTAAATTAAATATTTCATGAACATTTCCTGAACTTCTACAGTCATTAAGTCCATCATTTTAGTGGCTATATAATATTTCATAGTATTAACATGCTATAATTCATTTACCAATTCCCTCCATATTATTTAGTTTAATTCATCTTAATTTTGTAAATAAGTACATAGCACAACAGCATTCTTAGGCAGGGAAGGAGATGAATGGAAACATTCTATGAACCAAACACAAAGGATGCCTCGTCTCACACACGATGAGTGATCACTGTCATACGTGGGTAGCCCTTTGCGCGTTTTATATTTCTTAATATAGATTCTGGTGATTTCTGAGTGTCAGCCCCTCTTACTTACAGACTAATCTTAAGTACACACGGTCAGGGCTAATATCCAAAATACTATCCATCACTTTGCCACAACCTCCACCACCACAGCAGATGCCAGCTAAGGCAGGCTCTGGGACGCCCCTCCCTGTGCCAGGAGCTAACCATGCAATGGCTGGATTGTAAGAAGCTGGAAGAGAATGGGCCCAGGCTGGTAGGTAGGACATTATTTTGATATTTTAAGAACTAGTATGACAGGAGGTGTCGATGACGATGCATAGGTGAGTACCAGCTCTGCAAACAAAGACTTTTGGGGGAGAAGGTTCTGCTGTTGTCACTTGGTGATTGATTGAATCTGCAGCAGGTGACACAAAAGACGCAGTGAGCTGTTTAAAATAAAAACTGTAGCAAGAATGGCAGTGGCAGCTAGCCAAGGATGGCGCCCAGTACCCAGTCCTAGTCAGTAGTTACGACAGCGGTGACTATTCCAGAGCCCGATGATGGCTATCATGACATACAACTCG